AATCTGTCTGATGTTCTTCAGAAAAATTCTCTAGGTCCCAAAAATTCTTCAGTTTTACAACATCTTTTGTATATTTAAACCCTGTCTAGTGGGGATTGTGTGAATTTGAGATCCATCTGTTCACACTGAGGACAATTGAGGGACAACTATTAATAAAGGTTTAAACATTCACTGATGTTCCAGAAGAAAGCACGATGCATTAATAGCCAGGGGGTGAAAACTTTTTGAATTTTAAGATCAAGGTAAATTGTACTTATTTTGTCTTCCGGGAAACATGCAAGTATTTTCTGTTACTTCCGAAATGCAGTACTAAATAAAAAGTAATTGATATTTAAACAAAATAACAAAAAATTTGAACATCTTCAATCTGTTCAAAAGTTTTAACCCCCCGGCTCTTCAGTGAACAATTGAACCTTTTTTAATAGTTGTGTTTGAGTACCTCAATTGTCAGTGTGAAAGAAAAAATGGATCTCAAAATCATACAGTCATTGCTGAAAAGGGAAAACTGAAGACTTTTCAAGACCTGGATGATTTTTCTGAAGAAAATTTAGCAGTTTAACTGCTCAGAACAAACAAGGGAGTCATGTACAACTATCACAAAACAAAAAAACAGGCATGGATCATTAAAGGTAACGACACACCATAATAAGGATCTATTTTTTGTCTTGTAGTTGTTGACTATATGTAAACATTTATAATGTAAAATATCTTGTTCAGTACAGTACTAAATAAAATACCATGCATTTTGTATGATCCCTCTAATTTTTTTTAAATTATTTAGATTCTGCAAGGGCAGTGTACACTTTTGAGCAGCACTGTACATATAATAAAATTCCCTTTAGCATGGCAGTCCACTGCTGCCATACAGGGAGTTGAGAAAAGCATTTTTGAGACGGTGGAACAAAATACCTAAGTGATTAATGACCACTGGCACAAAAAGCAACCCAGCACGTACATTCCACATTTCATGAAACCCCATTATCATACATATGATAACTTCATCTTTCCATATGCCACAACTTGGAACTATTTGAAGTTTCCATTTAGGGAAAAAAATGCATTAACACTAGTAGTAATTGTGGGTCATGTGAGGATAATTTAGGTTCTGCTCACCAGCACATCATGAATGAGAGCCTGATACGTCCATGTGTGGTGGAGAGGAGTTGCTAGATCCAAGTTACGATCGGCAAGAACAAACAGCGGCCTCTGGAAGCTGTGGGAGAGGTGGGAGAAAAGATGGGAGATTTTTTATGGCCCAAAACTTTAACATGTCTCTACATCTTTCTTAAAATGTTCTAGTATAGTAGAGTCTGTCAGTCTGTTTATCAATCAAGATGTGTGTCTTGGATTATGCTTTTATAACAATAGATTAAATACTTTACAGAGATTTATGGCTAAAACTAATATACATATTCTCTTCACATCGGTTGCATGGGGGTGTGCGAGTGAATTTTTGCTCCACCTGAACTGGCCAGAGCCCATGGTGTCTCCGGTGAACAGGCTGTTACGAGCATCTCGCAGATTCTCTCTCAGTTTCTTGTCAAGTTTCTGTAATGAAAAAGTGTTAAATCAACATTACTAATATTTCTAGTAGAAATGAGTTGTACAATATGTAGAAAATAAATTAATCTAATAACCTGAGCGACAGGTGTTAATTTTGTCTCATATTACAGTGAGACATTCTTTCGCTGAAACGAATCATCTAAAAGTTCAGCACTCTAGTGAAAGCGAGCCAAGGTTGGACTGAGTCCCACATACGGAACAAAGAAGAATTCTGTACCATCAGTGAAACTGATGTATCAGTTTGCACACTGTGCACATAAACTAGAGTATAAAATGTACAAATGCACTGCAACAAAGAGATTATGTAGGGGTCAAGGTGGTCATTTGACCACAGCTATTCTATTATACTCTATTTCTGAATTTGTAAACCCCTCTTTACTGAGCAGGAGTAAACAAAGGTGTCTCGGTTAGTTTAAAAAGAAATTTAAAAAAGAAAAAACAGAGCAGTGGGTCTCTTACCACGGCTACCATTTCGGCAGCATTCCCTCTTGGACATCGGATTATTGGGACAGCACCTATGATAACAGGAAAGCTCACTGTACTGCCAATAGGAGGGTGCATTAATATCTGCTCACAGGCTCCCAAGGCACACATAATCACATTGCAAAAACAACAATACAGGCTTGATCAATGTACTTAATCGGAATTGTGCAGTTTCTGCCTTATACAACTCTAGCAGTCATGTAGAATGTAAATAAACTTAAATGAAATATTCAATGTATTTCTAAATGTTTTTGTCCTTTGAGCAATATACAGAACAACATTAGGAAGGTTCTGCCACCCAGTGGCTCTTTATGACAGTTGTGAGTTAAACTAATGGCTGTAATGTGAGAATTAGTATAAAAACGGCTCTTTTATACGATTAAATATCAGGTCTTTATAAAATACTCCCTGCTAAATAAATTCAGCTTTGTCATCACAGTATTATTTAGTTACACTTTAAAATATATTAAAATAGAAAACAGTTATTTTGAATTGTAACAATATTTTAAAAAAATGACTGTTATGTTTTGATCAAATAAATGTAGCATTTGTGAGCAGAAGAGACTTCTTTCAAAAACATTTTTTTTTAAATATTACTAACCCCAAACATGGCATGGTAGTAAATGTGCATGAAAGAATAAAAATATTTCTCATTATTTACCAAGAGTGACAAAGAAGCAGAAGAGACTATCCACTATTGTGTCCATTATGACCTCCATGTCTGTGTCCATGATATCTGGCTTATTAATTGCTGAGGGGACAGAACAGGAGCATTATTATAACATAACTTTGTTTAAGATTACAAATGAAATTAATAAAAGTCAATATTTGAAAAGAGTCTAGCAGCTAACCATGATAGGAGATGTGTTCTTTGTTTTGATTGCAGAGAATGAACATATCATCTTCAAGTGTGATGAAGTTCAAATATTGATCAAATACCTGAGGAGGGACAGAGCAGTCTAACATTTGAACTGCATAATAAAAATGAGCAGTGTGTTATTTTCCTTTCTTCAGGAATTCATAGAGATCATAGAGGAATTAAAAGCTCTAGCAAACTGAATCGAATTCACAACTAACATTCACTATGAATTAATTTACTTGACTTACTTTGGTCACCTGGTTTACAGCATTAGCTGTTAGAGCAGCACTTGCTATGTCCTCCAACTTGCTTCTGGAGATTGCAGAGATGAAGTTCAAATAGTAAGACTCATATAATTGGTTTCGTAAGTCCTGTGATGGTGAAAATAAACCATTAGTTTTGCAATAGTGTGATCTTAACAAATTGCACTAATTCAGTTGTTTAGTTAACATATTTACTTGACATATCCTGTCAACGTTCTCTTCTGTGGGCATTACAAAGAAAATGGCAGGAACATCTGGAATGGGGTCGCGATCTGAATGCAACAAGCTACAGGAAACAAAAAAAAAATGTAAACAATCAATTTAATCAAATCACTGATTTAAAAAGAAAAAGTGTTATAGGTCCTCACAGGTGCAGAGTGATGCCCATGTCTCGTAACTCTTTCACAGACAGCAGAGGGGATATGATGTCTTGGCCAAAGCGATCGTAAATAAGTACCTAACAAGAATTGCAAAGGGTGAGTGTGCATGTGAATTAGAACTATAAAAGCATCACTGAGTCATGTTTAAAAAGCAATGGATAGTGGATAAGAAAACCTCAAATGTAGACTTACCTTCCATACTGGCTCAGCTGCTGTGTTTTTCAGGGGTGGTGCATTGAAGTTAAGCATTCGCTTCAGAGCAGCTGAAAATAAAAACATAAAAATATGACTATTTTAAATCACTTCTATCACTATTTCAAATATCACAAACAGACAAATGTACTTGTTTGTGATTTAAAGGACTAAAATCATTTTAATAAAAGATGAATTGCTAATACTTACATACTTTGGCAGTATTATACCAGAAACACATCATTTTCAGAATTAGCCTATGTATTTTTAAACAACAAATTATCTACTGTATACAAATGACGACGAATAACTTTTTTTACATAGTCATATTCTATTATCATTCTTTGTATGATATGCATGCGATTTTAAATTCTACCAACACCAATACAATTTTTGTAGCGAACACTTTCAATGACACACGCTGCCTTTTTTAAAACAAATTACCTAGGCTACTGCATATTCATAAAGACGAATACCATTTTACACAGTAGCAGCTGCACACTACTGTCAATATCCATAAATGACGATGACAACCACAAAAATAATAACATCAGCATTAAAACTGTACCCATGTAACATATTAAGTTTAACCATAATTATTCTCTACCACAAGTTAAGCTTAATAGTTTTTACTGAGTGAGTTTAGCTAGCTTGTCAAATCAAATGATGGGTTCCTTCTGAAAGGTAAAAGGGATATTAATAGCTGTAACGTTAGATTTCATAAAAGAGCTGGTTGACTTTACGTATTAAACTATTGATGGTAGATAATAGTATTTTCATCCGATGAACCAGCTGCTAAATGAACAACACCGTTAGCATCCACAGCTACACTGACAGGACTGTACAGTTTCAGCTGTTATGTATTCAGTCCTATTGTATGTATTTTAAATATACTATTTAAAAAAAACTGCGTAAAAATCATTAATGTCAACAGTACTGAGCGGTTTTTTTTTTTTAAATAAATTCAAACTTATGAACAGACCTGTCTGTTTTTCTCGGATGGAGGCCGCCATTTTTACTGTTTATGCAGTGACGACTGCGAGGGTGACGTGGCGACCGGCGAACCGCTGTCAAAACGCGCAAGCTGACCGGTGATCAATGGCATCATGAGTTATTAGGAAATGCCATTTCTTTTTTCATCACATTTAAGTGTGATGTCTCAAGACAGTTTGAAACAAACAAACAAACAAACAAACCATTCATTAAAAATATGCCATCAGTTAAAGGTAATCATTTAATAAAAGACAATGGGAGAAACACTGAGGGTAACAAAAGTAAAAAAAGTTTAATAAGTTATGATAGACATAGACCTGGCAAGTAATCATGCACTCTCAAACTACATCAGGAGGAAAAAAACTACTCAAGAACAAATGCACACCTGCATTCTGTGTGATTCTAACATGGCTCTCTGGCACAAACAGTTAGATCTTTAACTCATTAATAACCAATTCATATAGCTATTGTGTGGCAAAAAAAACTTGCAATTGCACCATCTTGTGGCTACCAGGAAATTGCAACCTTGTTATTGTGAACTGTTTTTGAATGAAAAAACAAACCATTGATGTATAACAACTCTGTTCAGAATAGAAGAACACAAATTTTCTACTTAAGAGTTTAATCTTTGGAAATGCTAAAAAAAAGTGTGTGGCTGATAAAATCAGCTTCTTCGTCATTTATTAGCTACACATTCCAATGGATGCACTTATGAGCCTACACAATTTTTTTGAAAATACAAAGGGCAGACAATCTTATCACTTCTAAGATTGTGTAGTAGAACATGTATTGATATCTAGTTGATGCCCCAATAGTGTTTAAAGCAAAGCTGTCAAATGCTTTCTTCTCTGTTGAGTTATTCTAATTGTAATGCTACATAACGGTGAGGAGTTAGCAACACCTGGGTTTATATCAGACTGCTGATAAATAAAATCAGGAGCAACTATGATCAATTAATGCTATTGTGAGTTAGGTTGAAAATAGCACAGTATATATAATACGTGTTAACCCCAATAAATAGACTTCAAGCATCATTGTAAATCATTAGGTAAAAGCACACCATGAATCTACAGAAATATCTAGTTAGATGGGGGGTTTTTCCCTTTCTTTTCTGTTTTTTTTTTTTTTTCAAATGTCCTGCATAACTGAGAATTGACACACTGTGTAATCCAAATGTTTCTTGAAGAGCTCATAAGACGGTAGTATGGGCAGAATGAGATGATTGGCATCACAGTAGCTCTGAGGAAAAGCACATGAGGGGTCTGGTGAGCTCAAGAATGAAATGGACGGGGTGGGTTTGAATCCAATGGACGGAACCAAATCTGAGGCAGTGGCGAATGTTAGAATGTCCTCAAGTGATGCTGCACACCGACCCTCTGGAAAATGAGAATTAGAGGTTAAGATCATGCAAATAACAGCTTGTTTTCAAACGCATCAAAGTCCCCGTGAATCAGAAGAAGCAACAGATTTTACTTCGGTGCTATGGCGTATTTCCAAGTGAAATGGAATATTGAATAGAGGGCAGTTTTATTTTATTGCACCATCTCTCGCTCATAGCAGACTAATGGTTGGAGGGGATTAGTTAAGCGGTCCAAACCAGACCAGAAGAAACTTTTCAGATTTTGATTAAAGATTACTATGACAAAAACATAGTAATGTAGTCTTGCAAGGATTAATTATTCACCTTAAGACCAGTAATGTGTGCTAAAGTAAATGGGGTCAATTTTGATTTCATGAGGACTTTAATGTCATATTCTATTTTCATAGATTTTATGATATACACAAGAATCTAAATTCTACCAATATACAATACAAAAACATTTTTTCAGCGAACATACCGTCACACTCTTGAAGAAACTGTTTCCAATAGTGTATTGTTGTGTTTTCGTTTGCTTGTTGCTCTTTTTCCTCTGAAAAGCGGGCAGTAAAGAGTTCCATGACAGATTCAGCAGTCAGCCTCTCCACAGGCCCACAGAAGACTGAATAGAAGGACTCTGCACACATCTGAACCTGCTCAAACAGTCCTAGGGTCCTCAAACCTTCACGAAATCTGGAAATATAAACAAGCAAATAAGCGAGCATTTACTTGTAGTGTATGTGTATACACTACCATTCAAAGCTTGGGGTTTGTACGTTTGAAAGAAGTCATTTATGCTCACCAAGCGTGCATTTATTTGAACAAAAATGTTATTAGCCAGCATGCAAGGAGCCTAGCTAACAAGGAGAGCCAAGTTATTGTTAGAATACAGCTGGATTTTCCAGGTTAGCATGCTGTATATAGCTGGTAGTCCACTCTGTTTTGACCGCCTCATGTTTGGTTCCTTTTTTGACGCCTCAAGTTTATGTCGGGTCTCTCGCGTGAGAATCTTGTGTCATGTTCACAATGTTCAATTAGCCAACAATTAATTTAATCGAGTAAATTCTTCTCAACAATTAATCGATTAACCGTTAACATCCATAATTCATACTAAATCGAATATGTATAATCGTTTTATACATTTTAAAATGTAATAACACAGGCAGGTTATTTAGGGTACCAACCTCTGCAAAGGCAGCTGTAGTCTGATGATCAGGTAGAAATTTAGTACATCCTCCACCAACATGTCCTTCTCAGAGAGTTTGCTGATCTTTCGCCAGCAGCCTGCTGCTTCCAAGTATTGTGACGCTGACTGCATTGCATGTCTCAGCTCCTTCTTTGAGTTTGCTTCTGCAATCTAAAAGTGGATTCAGAGTTTAGCAGGTGTACAACCATTCAGCTCATTGTAATCATGCATCTCAATGCAACAGCAATTTTAAATCACAATGAAGAACAATATAACTCACCTGTCTGATTTTGTGTGCAAAAGCAGTGTCTCCGAGGTCTTGTAAAGTAGGCCTGTAGTTTGTGGGGTAATTGAACAGACTATGGTAGAGTGCTGGAGAGAAGAATCCTATGGGAGGACCTCCGTGAATCAAAGAGATGGCTAACAGACTGCCGACTTCAAAATAGAGATCATCCCTCAGAGCTGTTCACACACACACAACAATGGTTAGTTTTAAAGGGCACCTAAGTTGTCTGGCACAGTATTTGTCAGGAATGTTACATTTTCAAGAAAAGAATATGTTCTACCTTTTGAGTTCAGAGCCAGGTTTTTAACTCCATCAGGTCCCTCAAAGATTTCTGACATCTGCAGCTTCGAAACAAGACATCTGAGAAAGCGACGCTGATTCCTAATGTTGTTGTTCAGTTTGTCTTTGGAGAATTTCACAGAAAGTGTGCAGCAGGGATTAAAGTCACTTTGCCGCAGCACCTGCAGCGCTGCTTCCATCACCCCATCATCATTTACCACTAGCACCTCTGTGGACTGCTGCAGTGATATCTGACAGGCCAGATCCATTAAGACCTCTGGAGAAGTGGCTGGCACACGCTGCCTAGAAAACAAGGAATTTGTCATTTTCAGGAAAGGTGCTCGAAATAAAGCAACAATTATGATTCAATGGATCACCTTCAGTGTGTGTGTGTGTGTGTGTGTGTGTATGTGTTGAAATAGATTCTACTAGAGTGCTGCAAAACCCACAGAATTAATGGATGTTGGGTTTAGATGTTCTGTTGACAGTGGTGAAGAAGCTGAATTCAATAATCTAAAGGAACAATAACTATAACTCATTATTGCTAAAATTATTATTATAAAAAAAAAAACCGAGTAATAATACTAATATTTATATAAAGTTCTTCCAAAAGCTCAAGGTCACATTACAATCACAATACTATGACAAACTGAGGATGGAGTGAGCCTGAAATTATTTCAGTGATAATCAACAGCAAACAACCTCTATGGTATAATGGTCCAGAAACATGAACTTGCAAACAACCCAGAATATTTCCGATTCAATATAGATTCTATTGATTGGGCAAGTACCTTTTAGCGATGAGCGAAGAGTGAAAGTCAGAGATGTTTTTAAACAGCCTCTTCCTCTCTTGCCTTATAGCCAGAGGTGATTCAACATGGTTTGCCAATTGCACAGACTCTGGCAAAAAACAAACAAACAAACATATAATGAAAGGCAGTTTACACAAGGTGAAGTATGTAACTTTGGAATAATTCTACAAAATATGCAGATATTAAACGATAGTTTAGAAAGCTTACTGTTTTCCTCAACAGCAGCTTTACAGTCAGCACAAACCCAGTCGGTGTCGTAAAGCCTAAGGTTGGAGCACTTTCGATGAGTTCCCCTGGATCCACACAACTTACAACGAACAATTTCAAACAACCTGTGATTGTAATTTTAATGATAGTTAGAATAATTTTCAAAAACAACCTGACAATCCATTTCATTATTTTAGAATGACTGAATAAATGCTGAAATTACCCTGACTGTGAGCTGTGTTTACGACCTTTGTGACTAAGACATTTTACAGCATCACAGTGCTGGTACACTTGCAGCAACTCTCCATATGCATTTTCCTCTAGTTCCCATGATGCATCCCTGAAAAATATACAATATATATATATATAGTAATGGAAAATGAATTTATAATCCAAGAATATATTTTCACTCAAAACTTAAATCACTCAAAACAATATTAGAAGGAAATAAATAGTTTTTACCGCTCTGGTATATATATTCCCATTCTGAGCATTTCCTGCTGAAACTGGTCCTTGTTATTGCAGAGTGTGCATTTGAAGAAAAACATTGCAGCACTGTGTGCATAATGCTGGAACACAATAGTTAAAAACCAGACTTAAATTTCTAATTCCAGATCTTCATCTTTTAATATGTTTGGTGGCACAATTACCTGTACACAATCCCTGTGAAACCAGCTTCCATGGCACGCAGGACACTTGAGGACATTGTAGGAGAGGACAGGTTCAATGGGCTCAAGACAGATGGAGCAGGAGAGGGGCAGAGAGGGGCTGGAGACGCAGGACTGACTAGGTGCATGTTTTTTACAGAAAGACCTGCAAATAATTGCCATCATCAATACCAATGATGAGAAGCCTGATGAAGAATTAAATTATTGGAAATTTAAAAGGACATTACATTACCATTCAAAAGTTTGGGGTCATTAAGGTGAAATATTGAAAAAAAAATGTATTTTGTTTTAGTCAATAAAAGTGACAGTAAGAGTCCTACAAAAAGATAGAAAGGTCCTACAAAAAAAGAAATGTTACTTGATCACTAAATAAGCATAATTGAATGATTTCTGAAGGATCAAGTGACACTGAAGACTGAGTAATAGAGTGGAGCAGGGGTGGCATATTTTCTTAGGCCAAAAGCCAAAAATGAAATAGCATTTTACCACTTGCAAAGCCAATTTTTGTGTGTGTGTGTGGATTGACTTGCATGGATGAATTGTTCACCACAAAACGATCAATTTAGGCAAACAAATTATGCGTGGGCAATTTTGAATTCATGGGAACTTTAAAAACTATTATAACTGGTACTTTAAGGGAAAATGCTCTTAAAGATTTTAGTGATGGTGACGATGAAGTCATGCAACCGTGGTGCAGTTTGTTTATAGACTATGTTTAGCTTTTGAGCTATGGTATACGTGCTTCAAAAATGATAAAATTATCTTAATTTGCTTAGATTTTCACAATGAACAAAATGTAAGAATCATCAGCTTTTGTAAGTTACAGACCTTGTTTTCTGCAATAATTCAAAAGCCACTGGAAAAATTGTGTTGGGTTTTTGTCAAGAAAACCAGTGTAACACTAACTTGGCAAGTTGGCCAACAAAAATACACAATCACTGCACCACTCTATGAATATTTAAACCAAATTATTGAACTTTTTTAAAATAAAATTTAGCACATCACAAGATATACTTACGGAAACAAGCCAGTAAACTGGAAAATAAACTCTTGCTCTACTCCACAAGGCATGTGGATCATTTGCCGACAGCTTTTGATGGAACACCCCACTGATGCACCAACTTTTTTGCAGTGCATGCACCTCTGCAAGTCAAGCAGTGATATAGAATCAGATACATTTCTGCAGTGTTAAATGGAACACGTCAACATATAAATGTGCATTTACCAGCCTCGAAGATCTCCGGATCTCCTTTTTTATGTCATCCACGAGAAAGCCATGGACATCTTCATCCTCCTCCCCTCTCTGACATATTCCACTGGACATCAGCTGTAAAATTATATAGAAGAATAATTGGCCCACTTTTATGCATGAATTATGATGTTGGTGATGCCTTCTACAATTTCTCTAAATAATAATACAAATAAAGCTGTTAACTAGATTCAGACGTTAACAACTTTACTGTTTGAAAACAGTTGGTAAATACAATAAGCAGGTTGTGATATTCTGCATTACAATAAGAGATTTGCGGCTGACAGGACATGAAGAAATAACCAAGTAAGTTAGCCTATCTATGATCATCTAGGGTAGATTTCTTAATCATTAAACTGGGGTAGTGGCAAGAGTAAAATTTAGTAGATAGATAAAAGCAGTTTTGTGTAAAATAAATAGATACTATTTAAGTTAAGACTAAATGAAAAAAGAGACTCCAAAATAAAATGCATTGCACAAATACCCATCAACGTCTGAAAAAGGTAACGATGGCCATGGATGCAAAAAGAGCTGTCAGTATAACTTACACTTCACTCAGACAACTGTAAAACCCAAAGACGTAATGTTAAATGTAATTAGGCGATTTCTTATTCTCACCAGACAGAAATAGTGGACAGTCAGGTTGTGCTGTTGAAGGGTGATCTTCTCCCCATATTTCTCTGGAATGTCGTCGCACCTCTTGCAAAGACTACAAACTAAATGATAGACACTAAAATCAGTTGACGAGATTGTAAATAAATGTTCGGGTATATAAGTACTTATCTGATAATTGTTATTATAATGACGAATAAATTCGTTGCCACGTAAACTCGAAAGAAAAGCAACTTACTGAGGTCTTTGTCGTCCTTAATCTGATTTATTTCAGTAGTCTCCTCTTTCATCGCTTTCATTATTGTGTATTAGGCGGCGTCCATGAAGCAAAACTTTACGAAATTTTTAAATGGCGATTTAAAGAGCTTTTTAATCAGCGTTCTGTTGCTACTGGCTTGGCTAGTTCAGTAACCGCCATTAGACGCACTTTTCACGACCGTCATCTAGATTTTTCAACCCTCAAGATAAAAACACATACTCCTATGTAGTCGGAGTTTTAATACAATTATGCTAATTTGTGTGTGCGTATTAAGAGTGTAAATAGCATGATATAAATTCAAAATTCCCTCTGGCCCTGAAAGTCCGCCTCTGCTTGCGTTTGGTTGGTTGAATTCAAAAAACTGCGACTTCCTGTGGGAGGGTCTCTGTGCGGAAAAGGTGCGGTAGTCACGGCACTACGCAACTTCTACAAAATAAAAGTAAGCACAGGATACATTCATAAATGTAATTTTGCACATTCCAAAACATCTTTTATTGCTTTTAACAATGAGGTCAAGCAATATGTCAGCACGATCAAGCATTCTCTTAATCAAAAGGCAATAAAAACTGTGAATGTGTGTTAAACAATTTGATATATTTTTGTAAATCTGTACTTCCCCTGTGATGATGTATTGTAAGTCTTTGTTTATGTTTTATGTTAAAACAGCGGCAATGTTGGAAACTGCACAATGTATTATTTTTATAATGGAGACAGAGGAATGTTCATGTAAACTGTGCAAATGTTGAATAATAATAAAAAAGTAAGCACAGGAGAAGTTTAAAAAAAAGATTTTTAGAAGTTTGATTTTGTGGAAATATGGCTTATAAGGTACAAGTCCCACATTAACAGTAAGTGATAGTTCTATATTGTGTCGTTATCTTGGCTATTTCAGATCAATTATTTGAAACGTTCTGCATTGTGTAATATTTTTTAATATTTTTTGACACCTTTTTTGGCAGCTTTTGTGACACCTTTCCAAGGTTAAGTTAGAGACAACTCCATAAAGTGGCTCTACATTTTTTTTTTAATTTTGTGCAAAAGCATGCTTGTGTGCACTGGTTGGCTTAAATACTTTATTATTCAGTTCCAAGAGACTACTTAAAGAATGCGAGACATACATAATGGTTACATAATTTTTTTTTTTTGCCATGCGGCATGCCATTTGAAATTTCCAGTATATGTTGTATGTAACCACTTCTTTCCACCTTGCTGTGGAGAACCACCTGATTTTGAAGTTGATACTTCATCAGTATCACTAACCAGTAGGTGGTAGTAGATCAAAACAGTTCAAAGTGCTATAGCTCCCTTTTCTGAATCTAACACGGATCTGATCTCCTGAAGATCCATGTCTAATGGTGTTTTTCTAATATTTTGACACATCTACACCAGAACAAGGCATAGTTTTTTGAGAACCATCTTTTCAGTAAAATGTCAAATGGTTCAATATTTGTGCACATTCTCCAAACGCGTAGCCGTTATTCATAGACTATGTTTAGAAGCCATTAATAATTTATTAAATTAATTATTATTATTAATTAAATATTAATTTTAATTAGCAATATCTGTACTTTTTCATTCATTTATACCTACCTACTTCTGCAGAAACTTTTTGTTGTATTTTTTACAATTTTTTTTTTTTACTTTTCTGAACTCATTTTGTATGGACTTTAAAGTATTGTGAAATATTACAGTTTACAGTCATATGGTAGATTTCGAGCAAATCTGACTACTAACTGCTGCTGTGTTATTTCAGGATGTCGTCTTGTGTATAATATGGAAAATTGCATTTGTTTTGTATGGTGAGCCTACTAACCAATAGCCTCTGTAATAAGAACTGATTAATTGCCTATCTGGTACAATAGTGTTTTTAGAGATTTCTCCTACTCCAGCAAGTGCTCACACATATTTCCCCCCATTCAGTCACTGGATGCACCTGTAAACTAACCTGTGTTGACCTGGCTGGCAGTCACAACTTCATAGATTCAAAGATTCACTGGAGTGGATTACAACAAATAAGTGCTGGACTGCATGTCAGTTTTTCCTGCTTGAGCAGTGCTTCAGTCCTGTCTGGAGATCCAGATCAAGGTCTTGACTTGCTTATTGTTTGACAACACTTACAAGGGGGTCCTTGAATGCTCTTTTGACTTGAGATCTAAGATTACAGGCAATGCTTTTCCTCCCTTCTCTAAATTCCAGAGGGAGACCAAACAACTCCCTCAATTTTCGACACAGTGCTTCCTCCCCCAGTGTCCAATGCCTCTCAGAGTTTGCATTATGCAAGCTAATTTAGCCAATTATGCACAGGTGTGATGCTAATTCTCCTTTCACATACTGAGCTCCCAACAGTAAAAATAGTATAATTATACAGCTGTCCCTGTGTTTTCCTTCCCAGCCACTGCAACAGCCTCTGTCTCACAAAAAAAAAACAGCATTTCATTAAAGGCTATCTTGAAGAATCTCCTACGACTTTTTCCCCTTTCAACTCAACTGTTCATCTTTGTGAAACAGGTGTGAGAATGTATCATGATCCATATGAAATGTAACATTGTTTTTTTTTATTGGCATGGCTCCATGAACAACATTTAACATCATGTAACATTTCTACTGGACACAAAGTTATTATTAAAATGGCTTCCCAGATAGCAAACTGACATTGAATCAACGTGGAAACGACGTCTCTCATGACATTGAAACAACGTTGATTTGCTCATCGAATTAACGTTGAACCAACGTCAGACGCGGCATTCTTCAAAGCTAAATGAAATCGAAAATTGGTTTGCTTTCATAACGTTGAAACAACGCGTTGATTTCAAGTTGATTTTCCGTTAGTTTTGAAAGAATGACGCATCTGACGTTGGTTCAACGTTAATTCGATGAGCAAAACAATGTCAGATCAACGTTGTTTCGATGTCATATTTCCACGTTGATTCAATGTCAGTCTGCTATCTGGGTTACACTTTAGCTCGATTGTCTCCTTTAGACATTCTACTAACTATATGTAACTTTGCAACTACATGTCAACTATCTCATTAATTTTTAACATATCAGCTACGTAGACTGTTGGGTTAGAGTTAGTAGAATAAGGTGACTTACTTGCAAAGTTACTTAATAGCTGCATTCCAATTCAGAGGCTGCATCCTTTAAAGGACGCAGACATCGAAGGCCACAAAGGTTGGAACGAGCGTTGTTAAATGGGACGGTCTAGCCTATGGAGGGTTTGTTCTTGTCGCCTAGCAACTGTGACAGCTGCCGTTGATGAGTGACAGTAACCTTTGTACTAGACTTTTTTGAAAGTATACATAGTTATATTAAACTGTCTGAAATCAAAGACTGTCTGAGTTCACAAACTGTCTAAATATGTCCATGGTCCATTTATGTATAAAGAGTATATAATCACAGCAAGGTATATCAAGATTTGAATTATTTAAAATGTATTTGTTGAAACCCAATTTTTGTGTTTAAAAGTGTAATTTGGCTGGAGCCGAATCGGCAAGGCTATGAAGGATTACTCTATTGCATCCTTCATTTCACGGTAAACGAAGGACACATTTAGAGGCCGAAGTTGAAGGAGCCTTCGTCACGCAGCAATGACACTATCGGCCTTTGAATGCACCCTTCGAAGGATGCAGCAATAGTCAGTAGAATGTCTGTTGGGGCAACATCAAAATGAAGTGTTAGAAGATAAAGCAGACAAACTAATACTCTAATGACTGGTAGTTGACAAAATAAAGTGTTACCTTAAAATGTTCTTCACACTAAGAGAAAAAAAAAATGTACCCAAGACGTTCAATGAAAGGTCTTTTAGGGAACCCAAAATGGTTCTTCTATGGCATCGATGGGAAAACCCCCTTTTGGAACCTTTAGTTTTAAGAGCGTAGGCACAGGAATATGTAAATAGTAGTTCAATGTGTCTTCTAAATTCACAGTTAGAGAGGAGGGGCATTTATAAAACCATGTTTGATGAGAGTTTTAACCCAAGCGTTCAAATGTTCTTCACGAATGTGCATCCTAATACTTTCCAAAGAGGTGTAATGCATTCCTGATCCCACACTCCAACACACCTCTGAAAAGCCCCAGGCTCTCTTCTTTTTTCGATAGTGAAAGAGCTTACACCGGGGACAGCAACCTTTTCATTATATTCTGTCACTTTTGATAGATTTAATCGACATGACCACCAACCCAGATGAAGAGCTCTCTCCTCCAGACAAAAAAAAAAAAAAAAAAACCCTCGCTATTATTATCAGGGAATGTAAGAGTTGCAAACTAGTCCTTGAAATTGATGGCTGAGGAACACGGTCCCCTGAAAGAAGTCAAATTAAATGATCATGGTCCCTAGTTAGCTGCCCTTTCAATATACACATTTCTGTAGGGAATAGGATTGACTCTGACCCCACTCTCGAGGCTTCCTGGTGCACATGTATAACAGCTTGTGATATCTCATCTCGTGTGGCTTGAGGAAATTGCTGTCTACACAGGCCAAATAATTCTGTCTCTTTGACCTGTGGTTCAGGGAAGTCTAATTATCAGCTTCAGCGCTGGGCTCGCCGGGGTCCCCGAGCTGTCTTAAAGGCCCTGGGCTGTCACCCTTTCTGTCTCCCCTCCCAAAATGAAAATTGAGTTGTCTGCAGAGTGATAAAATGTGTCTGCTAATCAGAAATGTGAAAAGATCCAGGGCGAGAGTGGCACTAAGGCATGAGCGAATTGCAGATTTCTTTCCTCCCGTCTGTCAGATTGTCTAAAGTTTTTGCTAACATATATAATCACTTGAAAACATTCTTTTGGAAATATGCGCCATATCATATCTTGTTAGCATGACTTTGTAAGCTGCAGGAGTTTTTTTTAATGTTTGTATACATTTAATGCCATTTGTCAAGTCTTGAATTTATTTACCATGCTGAATAATGTTTATTTGAGCATTATTCATTATCTGTGATATAATTTTAAACTCTGTAAAGGTAAAATGCTGTCGTACCAGAAAGACAATAGAGGGAAAATAAATAAGTCAATGCATATGTGTGTGAGGGAGATGGGGTGGTGGTGGTTGGGGGGGGGGGGTCTCTTTTTTCATCACTCTCAGGTCACAGGGTTCACTATTGGGTGGAGCCTTTTTCTCTCAGAGGCATGCTGGGGTATCAATAACCTCAATGTTTCACCACACAATCGCTCTGAAAACAAACACAGAGGCTGGACCTCCATCACCAGGACCTACACTCCAGCACCACGTCTCTGGGCACAGGTAACACCTTTCACCCAGCATTCCATCACTTTAAAGCTGCAACAACTAACCTAAAAACTCCTCCACTGCTGGGTCGGTGTGATTTACTTCTTTTGTTTCTGTTTTTAAAAA